TTCTTCTGTTCCTCCTCTTTGGCTGTTTCTTTTTTTTAACTTTGGTTTTGTTTTGTTTTATTGTGAATGTGTAGGGGTTTCATGCGGAGTTTTTATGGGGGAGTTTTTTCAGGGTTTTTTTTCTGGAGTCAGTGAATCAGGAATACCTTTCACATCCGCCCCTGTGAGCTTACCCAAGGCAGATGAACAAAGATCTCTTGTTGTACGCAGCTTTCTCAACAACTCAGGGCACTGTTAATATTGCCCTGTCAAATCAATTTATTTCAGAAAGAGAAGCAGCACCTGTCAGGGGAGTACAGTGTCTGATAAGCGAGGGTGCTTTGGGGGAGCTGGCCAAGCTTCAGACGCCAAGCTTCATTGCCTGCCCCATCACCTGAAAACTTCTCGTTTTCTACGCTCCACACTAACATGTTACACTGGATACAGTCCTGCTCCAAACAGGCATTTCACAAGGGCTGGGGAATTCACTGCAGAACAGCCTGTTACATTTTAGTTACCTGTGTTTGGGGTGCATGTTGATGTGATTTGAAAAATATATTTTAAAGTTCACCTTAGGTTACAGTATGTGGTGTGTGCTAACTTTCTTTAAAAATAAAATCACTGCTTAGGGAGTCTGAACTGCCTTTGGTCTGATTCCATGCAGTGGCTCACTAAAATCCTTGATCCATCATCTTTCCTGTTTGCTTGGGTTCCTCTCTGTGTGTGTCTTCAGAGGAAGGTGAGTATTTTTCTTTGAAAAAAGAGTGCTTTGCAGCATGATTAAGCTTGAAATAATACGCAGATTTTCTCTGGACAGTTGCTGATGAGCAGTTTCCTTGAGACTTTGAATCAGGATTCTGTTGTGTTACAGGAAGCTTTGAGGGACTGGGAACAGTTCAATAATGAACAAAACATTAGTGTCGGTTCATCAGGTGTGCTTGTTCCTGTAGCCATGGGGGCTCACACTGAGGCTGGGCTTCCTTGGCTCATCCCAACTCTGTCTTGTGGAGATGAGAGCATCTTACAGAAGAACAACATGAAACTGGTGAATTCCTCTGATTCTACGTTACAACTGTGAAAAGTCTGTTTGGAATTGGATTGTCACTCAGGGTGGTTGTCAGTGACAAAAAAAACTTTTTTAACTTAGCTAGTTAAATACTCCATGGTATCAGGATCTCAAAAAAAACTGGGTCAGGCTGTGCTCCTGGGGCATCTTCCCAGCCTTGTTTGTTTATTTGTTTGTTTGGGGGTTTTTTTTGGTTTGTTGTTTTGTGGATTTCTTTTTGTTGTTGTCGGGTATTTTCCTCCCCTGTTTTAGCTGGCTGCTGTTTCAATATGTTTTCAGTGTGTTTCAGTGTATGTTTTCAGGCAAGGAGGCCCCTGCAGCAATGACTTCCCAAAGCATTAATAGGGAAGCTGCTCTTGGAGTTGTGTGGCTGGTGAGAGTGCTGGGTAGTTGGRCTTATCTGCTATTAGGGTTTGGTTTGAAAACCCGCCAGTGGATTACAGACCCTGTAGTATTTACTGCATAATGCTATCAGATAATCCCTGTGTTTATGAGAATGTTTTTCTTTAGGTTAATTTATTCAAGTGAACATTCAAACTAAATTAAAAAGAAAAAAAMCCCAACAAAATGTCTAAGCCTAMGCCAAACCTGCTATAAAATACTTGTCTCAAAAAGAAATAACCCACCCCTCCCTGATCAAAAATGCCTGTTCTCAGTCCATTCACTTCAGGATTGCTCTGAAACAAAACCACTCTGGCTTTGGTCCACAATCAATCTATGAATGTGCCAAAAATGTGATAAATGCTAATCAAATGTAATATAATGAATCAGCTGTGACATTTTATTATGGAAATTAAACATCATGCAAAACCTTGCCTAAGGAAAATAAATTGTCAGGGAAAATACTAATTTTCATGTGATAATTAAGTTTTCTTTTCCTTTCATTTCCATGTCTAAAAACGTTTCAGTTTCACTTTTTATAACAGGCATTTGGTATGAAAGCCATTTCAAGCAGGATTTAATTTATGGAATTGAAAAGAATTGCCTCTCCCACTTAATTGCAGGAAAACAACAGAACTGATGTGGGGAACGGTGGTGCTGTTTTGAGGGTCAGAAATATTTAAAAGGTTGAAAAAACAATTTGCACTTTATCACAACCTTTCTAAGGAGTTATGCTGCTGTCCAGTGGTATGATGCCTGTTTTCCTTGCCAGTTTGGGAAGAATCTGGAGTGTTGGTTTATTGTACCTGTAGTGAAATGCTCTTTCAGCTTGGGGAGAGCCTCAGTGGACTGGTGGGTTTGCTCTRGGGACATAGTCCTAAGGGTGAAATACTAATAATAAAATCATAGCTTGCCAGGTGGGCCTGGTGGATCTACCTTCAAGGTCTTTAGTTTGTTGACCTCTTGTGGGTCTGTACTGAATCAAAAGGGATCCCCCTGGCAGACTGTGTCTGGTGTGATGTACTCACAAGCATTGGCAAACCCTTTTGTAACCTGTCTAAGCTCTGTTTTATGAGCAACAAATTTCTTGCATTTTCCCCTTTCATAATCATCCTTCTCAATTTCCACCTCATCTGCATGCCCAGCCAGCCATGACCATTATGTTTAGTTACTGTTTGATTACATTTGTTTTCCTGCAGCATTTTTCATGACTTTGTAAGTGACAATTACATCCCTTCTTGGGTGTCATTCTGCCAGCCCAGGCAGGTTAGGTTCTTTGCACTGACACCTGTAAGACAAGATCTCTCTGTGCAATTTTTCTGTCTGTTCAGTCTGAATTTGTCATGGAAAATTGGAAATGAGTGACTCCTACTTTACACAGTATGTCAGAAATGGTCTAAGATCTTACACAGTAGTATTGAACAGATAATCCTTACTCTGTCTGATCACTTCAGATTATCTTTATCTTTACATCCTGAAGAAACATTTGCCCTGCTTGTAGTTGCATCACAACTACCTTGTGGTCAGCTGTTAGTCCCAGAATTTCCTTTTCGTTTCCAACTGGTAAAACTCATAGCTCCATGCAGAAGTTTTTATCAGTCTCCAAGCACATGACCCACCACTTTATTTTCACTGAATTTTTTCTGTAGCTGTTACTCATCAAACCTGTGCGATCTTTTCCATAGGTTAGTCCAGTCCTCCTGCCTTGGCAGGGTTTCTCAGCTTGGAGYTGTCATCCGACAGATTTCATCAGTGCAGCTTTACCTTTTGTGTAAGTGCTGCTCATCAAAATGCCAGGTCAGATTGGTGTCACCATTTGTCCTTGACATGACAGTCCCCAGTAATAATCTCTGATGCAGCTTGACTTTATTCCTTGACACTGCTAATAATACAGACGTTTTGGGTGGATTTCTTGGGAATATTCCAGCGTATGTAATATTTTACTACTTTCAAATTGCAGTGTACAAAASCCCTACTATATATAGAATGGTGCACTCAGTTGTAATAGTATTATTTAATTATARAGTAAATGTATAGTRAGAGTATTCAGTGCAAGAGTATCTRTGAAATTGTCTTTTAAATAGTCCTATTAGACAAATGAAATACTTGCACTACACCTGTGATACTGATCAACATGATCAATGCCCTGACAGCCCAAAATGTTATGTTCCACCAGGCAGATGTGCTAAGGATCTCCTGAATTTRGCCATCTTAAAGCAGGGCTGAAAGCACGTGTGGCATGTAATTTTGGAAAAAGCTGASTACACTTCTGTATCACCACAAATAGTGCTGCTTGGCCATTTCTGGTTAACTAACACTAGTTAGGGTTGAGTTTTCATACCACAGGACCTTGAGCTAATGGCTCTTTACCTAACCTTTCTCTTCCTCCAGCTGCAAATGGTTGTGGCCTATTATTTTTGATACATCATGGTTGSCATGTTCTGTTTGCTCATTATGTCTTGTTTTGGTGTCTTGACCTGCCTGATTCAACTAAAGTATCAGAACCAAAACACTATCACAGAATTCAGTCCCTCAGGTCAGATCCTCCTGTGAAAGTTCTCTTTAGATCTTGAATCATGAGGGATCTTAGAAGAATGCATTTTGCTTAGTCCAGATATTTGTAAAACTCATGGGCTTAGATTCTTCCATCCTTCAAACATCTCATCCTGCAATCTTCTGATTCCCGTAAGCACAAAGAGAAGATTGCATTTCTCATGTATTGGTACTTCCATCTTCCTTGTCCTTAGCATGACATCACAATTGTTAATGGTCTGGTAATGCACTCGTGCTGTGCATGTTGGCTTCTCTGGAGGCTTTAGTTAACACTGGTGAGATAAACAGTGAATGGGAACAGAGAGAGCATCCAGGCTCTCAACTAGTCTGGAAATTATTGGAATAGAAGGGAAGGAAAAGAGGAACAGAGAAAGCCATTTACTGAGKATTGCAGTACAGCTAACTAGCAGTTCTGTTGGAACTCTGATTTCTTTATCCTAGCCAGGAAACATACAGCATTTYATGGTAGTCCCTGATTATACAAGGAACAGAAAGTTTTATGCAGTTTATAAAACAAGATTTCCTTCTGTAGTATTACATTTTGTATTGTATCTGAACATGACACTTCTGGCACTGTACAAGAAAGTAAGTAGGAAATGGATCTTTGCTACATTCTTCTTCWTTTTTTTCCTGTTTCACTGTGATCCCTCTTTTCATGCTTGATAAAGTTACGTGAGAAGTTGTTTTCTGAAATTCCTCAGCTCCGAGGAAAGGCATTTGGAGGCTTGGTGTGGCACTCTAGCTTGATAGAGTATTTTTTACTTTCTATCACACAGATAAAATGCAGAAATCCTTTCCCAAAAAAATTAATGGTATAGACCATCGTCTCTTCAAGCACTGAACAATCTATATTGGCAATGYTACTCTTATACACTGTAAAGAATCACTACTTTGAGACAAACCTGCCTCATGTCCCTGTAGGTACATTGGAYTTAGGTCTGTCAACAAAGTATGATTGCACAGTGAGTGATTGCTGGTTGCATTTAGAATGCTTAAATACAACTTTGTTTTATTAAAACAGGTGATCTGTCACAGCTTGTCTACCATACCTTCACAAAGTCAGTGTTTTGACATTCTCCAGACTGGCATCTGTAAATATTTGGTAAGTACCATTTTGTCTTCTGTATTAAAGCTTCCTTGTGATAAATTTGCTAATATACTCATCCCAAATYGTCTTATCCTATGTATTTCACATACAATTTCAGCATTTGTAAAAGCTTTAAAGAAGATTTGGGTCAGTTTAAAAAATACATAATTGGTTGGTATCTAAACTTACATAAGTAATTTTACTCAGCTGAAGTGAATACTTCAGCTTGTCTTGAAGGCAGCTCAGCTATAAAATAAACACTTCTTAGTTTGGTTTGTTTTTTGAAAGAGCAACCAGCAGCTTTAGATCAGGGTTTTTATCTCATTAATGTATGAGTATCTAAAATATGGCAAGAAGATGGAGCCAGGTTCTTTGTGGTGCCAAGCAATAGGACAAGAGGGAGAAGCTGAGCACAGGAAGCTGAGCACAGGAAGCTCCACATGTACATGAGGAGAACTTCTTTGCTGTGTGAGTAACTGCCCTGGAACAGAGTACTCAGAGAGGCTGCAGAGGCTTCTACCTTGTCTGGGTAGAATTCTGTGCCACATACTCTGGGTTGACCCTGCTTGAGAAGGGGTGGACCAGATGACCCCCTGTGGTCCCTTCCAATCTGACCCATTCTGGGAGTTTTACAGCCTGTCTTCTAATCCTGAACATGACTGAGCTGAGGATGGGGATGGCAGAGYCAGAGCTGGGTAACACAATGGTCAGGGACAGAATTTGCAGTTCCATGTGATGATGCCTGATGAGAGGGAGGACCACAGGCTCTGCCTCTGCCCTCCTGTCAGGGTGGTTCTGTGATCTAACAAGTGTCTTCARTTCTGTGTTTGGAGCCATACTGAGAAGTTACTAGACCAAAGCTTCCACTGGGGTTATTTTACCTGTAACCATAATCCGGAGTTTTGGTGATGGGTGTTGGCCTAAATCAAGTTTTAAAAAGGCTTATATGTTCTACTRCCCTGTCCCTTTGAAAGCAAATGGTTAAGTGGGTTTTTATGGTTGGCAAGGCTGCTGCCCAAGGTTTCCAACTGGCTGCTGACACCTCACAGGGAGCAAAGGCACATGGAGGCAACATTCTATATGGGAACTTAGTTGAGCAGCCTCATCTGCTGGATTTGTATAAATTGAAACATCTCTGTTGCTGTTGTCTTTCAGACTGGCTGACCAGCACGTGCCATCACTAGTGTTGGCTCAGTTGGTCTTCAGGGTGGTTCTTTATATGCATCTAGATCCTCTGCCATTATTTCTTATTTRTTGATCAGGAAGATCATTATTCGTTTTTATTGTTTGGTGCCTCAGTGTCCTGTAGTGCTCAGCAGGGTCGTGGTGACAGCTGCAGTCCCACCTGTCAGGCAGGACCATCCATCATCATCCTCTTCCTCCTCCTGCCTCTGCATCTCACTGGCACAGGGTCAGCCTGGGACAAAGATCTGTGCTCATGGCCTTGAAGTACACCCAGAGTCTTAAGCTGGAAGGATTTAAAAGTTTCARCCTGTAGTTGTTCTGTATCTCTTACCTCTCACAAGTAATGATATGAATGAAATACATTTCACATTTCTGTAGCTTGTACTTTATTGATCTTTTTTCTAAACATTTGTAAAAGAAACAGCTGACCTTGTTAAGTGAAGTAACTGCCTCTATCAGCTTAAAACAGTGTACTTACAGGTGAGCAAATTAGACTACTCTCAAACTCCTTAAACAGGTTTTTAAAGGTAAATGGTGCCACACTAGCAGTGCATGATTTTTTTATGGCTTTACAGGACAAAAGTCTAGGGTTCTTACTCCATAGCACTTCAAAATTCTAATTTTCTAATTCAAAAAAATTAAGCTTTCTAATTCACTGCCTCTACACAAGAAAGAATTTATTYTAAATTATTTATCAAGCCTATAAAATCCTTACTCAAGATGATGTTCTCTCTTTAACAAGAGCAGAGCATCACCCCACTTTGGGCTCACCATATATTTCATTAGCTTTGATTTACCTCGGCTCATAAAGCTCCTGTTGGGCTTCAGAGGAGATTCACCCTGGTGGCAATCTAGTAGAAGCTTTCCTTTCTGTATCATAAATCAGAGTTTCCTTCTACCTSAGTGACTGCTCACTGCCATTTCAAGACTCAGAAGACCTTCCCAGTCCCATGATATATGCTTAAAAGGAAAGACCTGTTCTGTCCCAGCAGATTGTTTGTGTCTGCACTATCATTCAAAGCAGTGCAGTGTTTTTCAAATGTGTTTGAGATGTGTTTTTTTAGAAGGGATGGAATRAAGATGTCAATTTAACCTTCTGTTGGTATGGGTGGCAATTTATTGGGAAAGGAGGGATTTGAAAAACATGCAGTGTTCTGTAGTTTGAACAGAAACAAAGTAATACCTGTCACCACAGGAAAGCTCTAGATTTGCTTGTATCCCAGCAAAACTTTTTTTGTATAAAGTGATGAACTTGGGTTGGTTTTTTTGTCTCGTTTTAATACAGGTTGGATTGGTTGTCATACCTGATAGCACAGCTGGATCTGTTCTATGTGCCATAAATAAGCTCTTGGATCAAGCCTGCATCATAAGTGAAAACCTGCACAGGTTCTTGGCCTCTTGTTGTTACAGTCTTCTGTACTTCCTGCTAACCATAGACAGAGAGGATGCAGAACATCTACAGAAAAGGTAAAGTTGCTCTTCTTACTGTCTTGTCTCTGTCTTTGCWGCCACATTTAGAGATGTGAAATGAACGAATACCCTCCACACACAAAGATTTATTTTACTATCTCTCTTTTGCTTCCTTCCAGTCAGTACTTAGATTTAAGAACACCTACAAAGTTACCAGGAATTACTTGAAACAGTAACTGAAGGAGGATTTGACTTTATGAGTAGGTTCTCATAATTGATCTGATATCTCATTTTTAATAAAGCTTCTCAGGCATCATTACCTAGACTGCAAATCCATTTGATTTTAAAACCCCAAAAGCTACMGATAACAGATTCAAATAAGTTCACCTGAAATGAAGAAATGTCTTTAAATAGCTCAAACTTTTCCATATACAGAAAAGTTGTTAAAACCTTTCTTAAAATTTATTTAAAGCCCAAGTCCTCCTTCTCTTAATGTATTTAATGCCTTGCATATCACAAAGAGCTAAGTCCATTATTTAGTTTCTTATGAATCCTAAACAAAGATTCARGTGTACTTGAAAAATGACTGAAACAAAAACCTCTTCCTAGCTGCATCAAGSAGAAATTGCACTGTATAGGAGGTTAAGCAAACATTTGTAGCTTCCAGGGCAGGACCTTAATTTTTTTTCCACTGCTGTACACAATTTTGGAATATTTTCAAGTTAGGCATTTCCTGGTACAATTTTTTTGCTTTGTCACTAATTATGGTGAATGCAGCTGGTATAATTGAATCCATAGAAGCAGGTTTCCTTGTACAGCCATGTGGCCAGTTCACAGAAGCAGCCTTGAAATATTTGTCCTCAGTCACTCAATTTTTATTCTGTCTTCCTCTCAGGGATATGCTGTGGGGATCATGTATTTCTGCATTAGCACTCCTGCCACGATTACTGAGGCTGATGCTGCAAAGCCTGCAAGTGAGCAGGATCTGTCAGGAAGAGCTGCCCGTCGTTGCTCAGTTGCTTCGCTTACTAATGCAGCACGGGCAGCTCAGGAGCCATATGATCACAAATGAGTTTCTGGTGCAACAGATCATCAAGGACATCATGGTATGGAACTTCTTGTTTCCCAGAGGCTACACGTATGCCATGTTTATTTTTAAAAATTACTGCAAACGTTCAAGAGCTGTTTAGCAAAACAGTGGTGAATGCAAATGTAAGGCATTATGGTGAGGTTCTCTAACCTGCAGGTTAGGAGGGAGTTGTTTCCCTTTAGTGTCAAAAATGCCACAACCAATTCTTGGGGTGTTCCACCGTGGGTGGGTTGTGGTTGTTGTTGGGTTTTTTGAGCCACCTACAAATCCTAAGAGGGAATTCCTGGGCCAGGAGCTGGGCTGGTCTGTTGGTAGCAGTTCTCCTTAGACTGGGTTAGGAAGCTCTCCTGCACTGGTAGAACCATGCTCATTTGCATTTTAATTGCCTATAAATTGCAGAATTGGAAAGTAAGTGAGCCACTCTAATTAAGAGTAAGGAAAGCACATCTGGTGTAATTCACAAACTTGGAAATGTAATGACTTGGTGTACCCAGTTGTAACACTTTGTTATTTGGGCTTTAGCAGACACACCTTGTTGAAATGTTTAAATGAGAGGAACAATGTCACTATGTGCAGGGGAACAAGGCTGTCTTGTACCTTTAACTGTGCACCCCTGATTAACTGTGAAAACAGTGCCAAGTATTGCAAGTGCTGCTGGGGAAATTGAGTTTTACCCCTTTTTTTCTTTCTTCCTAGACACTGAAGAGCGGTGAAGTTCAGGAGCAGTGGCTCACAGACCTCCATTACTGTTTCAACATCTACCTTGCCTCTCATCCCCAGACACCTGGCCCTATAAACACAGTATATTAAAGAGGTCGAACTGCATTTATTGTAAAGCATTTACTTCTATTTAGTTTTGAATGGAAGATGTTGGAACAAAGCTTGTCAATTTTTTTGTAAGTGAAACAATAAAAATTTTACAGAGAACTGCAATACCTCTACTGCCTTTTTTTGAGCAAGCAGGTGTTTCTGGAAGGTGCTGTAGTAAAATGTGGCCACAGTGTTAAAGAAAATCCAGTCCTTGATGCTGACGAGCTTGCAGAGGAACAGACTTACATTGAACTCTGCTCCTTTATTATTTTGAAGCATCACATTATTTTAAAAAATAAAATTGTGTATTATCAAGTAAAAAAAAAATCGAAAACAATATACTTTAAAACTAGAGTAACATCTTTTTATTTTTGCTGAGTTCATGTTTTTAAATACTTTGTGCAAGGTAAGTACTGTACACTGTGGCAGCTCCAAAGCTATTAAAAAAACCTATTTTTTTTTCTAGAGTAGGACCGGTCTCTTTTTGCTTCTCTATTTCACGCACTTAGAAAAATAGTTATTAAAAAAACTGGTGATATTTTCAAAGGGTAGAAAACACTGCTGTAATAGTTTCCATAGGTTGTGAAAGCATTTTCTTTAGTGAGTGTTTTTTCTTAATGTGTCTACATATCCTTCCAACTCCATAGTCAGCTAAGGAACAATTGTTTCTTTAGTAGAGAAGTGTAGCATGAAGGCTGTTCTTTCATTCCTACTTGGATTTCAAAATTCATTTAATGAATTTGAGGTAAAATCGAACATTGGTCTCTCAGAACTGTACCATCTTTAGTACAATTTCCCTCTTTGAAACTGTGTTTGATGAATACATTTAAAATTCCTACCTTTGACAAAAGAAAGCTTTGATAGCTCCTACAATGTTATTGCAATAGTGGGCTTAGTGCTTCATTTTCTGTTTYCAAATGCAGTTCAGATTTCATCCTGTATTGGTACAGAAATAACAGTTGCATTTAAAGACCAATTTGTACACAAAATGAGCCCAGCTCCTTAGAAGTCTTCTTGGCATGTAATGCTGGGATAATACAAAACTGAAAATGTGTTCAAGTTTAGTWTGTCATAGATGGCTTATACATTATCAAAGATAACAGTTGTACTGGAAAGGATTTGAAATTCCAACCATTGTTCAGCTTAATGCTTAGGTCTTGTATTTTTTGGTTTTGCAGCAGTGGTTGGTCTCATGTTGTATGAAAAYTGCCTTGATTTTCCCATGTTCTCCAGCAAATTAACACACTGTAGGTTRTTTACTGTAAAAGAACAAAATAGTTTTGTTACTAGAGTAACTCCAGTGGGTGAAGTTTCATTTACACTGTGTTCTAGATTTCATAGCTGCAGTGTGGGGGACTTCAGCAGCTTCTCATGGTGCAACTTAAATCGAGATTTACCCCCATCAATGAATGAAGGGTTCCAGACTAACACAGCACTCTTGGCTGAATTTCCTGAAGAGCAGCAAGAGATTTTGTTGAGCAATATTTAGCAACATGAGGTAGGTTTTGGGCCCTTTCTAGGAAGCTGGGGAAAGAGTGCGTGCTCTGAGTTGTTAGAAAGCAAGAATGATGTCAGCTGACCACTCTGTTTTGAATCTGGCCGAATGTTTGGGCTTATGCAATTTTTTTTTATTTCCTGTAATGTGCTACAAATAATATGTGTGTTTTCCTTACCCAGTTTTGTAAAGATTAGCTGCAAACATTTCAGTGCTTTATCCCATTCCAGCCAGGGTTATCCCAAGTGCAAATCCAAATGTTTCACTGGGGGTATGAGCTCAGCACATCTTAAGGACCTCTTTCTAATGCCAAGCATTGCAAAACCCACTCCTTTGCAACAACTCTGAACACACTTTAATGTCCACAGTGAAACAAAGAACCAGGCTGGCTGGTTCTGCTGCAGAGCACCTCTTAAAGGGCCATTTGCTGAATTGACAAAAGGTATCAATTAAAAAACAAGCTAGAAAAGGAACAAATGTCAGGTTCTGAAATGTTTTAATGGTAACAATCTTTAAGGCCCTATTTGCTAGAACATTCCAAAGCACCTACCCCATATCTGTATATCCCATTGCATGCTCTTTTTCTACCATCACCCACTGCCTGCCTCACTGAACATTTCCTTTGAATACCTTCTGCATATCCCCCCTTCCAAAGTGTTTGACTGAGTTGGGTGTCAGTCCCTGTTACAGATTTGTCACCACACGCTTCTTCCACGAGCTCTATGAACATTAAAACTCGGGCTGACAGTCAGCCTTCACCTTCCCAGATGTACCTTGTGCAAGGGAAGAATCAAACTGAACAGTCCATTCTGACCTACTCCAGGCACCTACGTCAGAAACRGAGTATCTGGCATTAGCCACTGACAGCTCTGAACTTTTCCAACAAACGTAATGTTGTCATGCACAAAGGCAGGCAGATGAAAAACATGTTATTGTCTTTTAAGTAAGGGCTAAAGTTCCCTGAGCTCCTATTAGGTGAATAAAAGTAGGTAGTGTTCTAAAGGAACTGGGCAGAGTTCCTATCACTAACCTATTCGTCACCAAGTTATGAAAGCAAAGGCCACTCCAGCCTCAAGAGAAAGCCTTTTTATTTCAGAAGACAGGGAGATCTGTTGTCCTGAAAAGTTAAACGAAAAGAGCTAAAAGCTCTTTTAAAATTTAGATTCATATCTGCATGAAGAGGTGGCAATCAAACACCTGTCTGGTCATGCTTCTTAATTAAAACAGTTCTCAGTGAAAGAAAAAGGCCTCTGTCTCTTAGTGAAGCAGAAACACGCCTGGAGTTCTRACAAACTCGAGTATAGGTCTGCTGTCAGATTTCCTTCTGATTTCAGAGTTGTGTTAAACCACTTGGAAAATGTATTTTACTTCCCTTTGCAAATTACCCGAACTCCTGTTTCCCTGAAGCAGTAGCTGTGTTCCCCTCTAGCTGTGGCCTGTCTCTGACCAAGATGTAGCAGAGCCAGGAACAACAAATGCCCAGGGGGGATTAAACCTTCACGTGGTGAAGCACCAACATTACCACAGCTCCCAACCCCAAGTGCATAATACACTTTAAAAAGTCTGAAAAATGACATTTAGTAAAGAAGCTTTTCATCTAAATGATTCAGCATAAGGATAGAAGTTCAGTGCTCAATTAAACACAAAAGTGGTGAGTGAGTGTGCAATCAAAACAGTTTGGCAGTRGTTAGTTATACATTTTGATAAGTGCCCWSTCCTTGAGCAGATTATTTTCTTATCTGAGAAGAATCCAATCTCATGTATATGAACATCAAAGTATTGTTAAAATGCACATGTCCTACCTGAGACCAGCTGCACATCAGAAAGTTTCAGCTTGGAAGGAGGTCTTGTTGACTGACACACTTTGCCTTCCTGAGAACGCCCTTTAACAAACAACGTGAACAGCTCTGTGTTTATCACATAAACATGGGGTCATGCATAGCTACAAACCATTCCAGTAAGCTACAGCATTATTAATCCAAAAAATTACTCTCATTTATGATGGGGAAACTCATGAGACATTCTGTCTGACAGGAAATTGTGACAACCACAACTGAAATTAACTGAARTTAAAATACATCTTGCAGTTGCTATTAAAAAAAAAAAAATTTATTAGCTTTATTTGTTTTACCCTTTTTGGCTCTCTAAGCTAAGGAGCCATGATAGGAGCTTGAGGTTTAGCAGCAGTGCTTTCCCCCTACCTTTTCTTGACATGCATTCCTTTGCACGGGCACATTCAGGTACAGTGCAAAGCTGCACTTAGTATAAAACACAATCTTGTTCTTTCCATAAAGACCGCTTATCTTCATACAGGAAAATTATCAACATTGAACATATTCTTCAAATGAAAATGTGTTTAAAACAATAYAAAACCAAACRAARCTTAAAACAATGTTTTTAAAAAACAAATCATGATCCAGATAGTCACTCTGCGTGGATACAGCTATCCCCAGCTGAACGGCTCTGTTCTCTTTCCACATTGATACATGTGAGCAGCTCTGGCCACAGAATTATTTGACTGCTCAAGACCTGTGTTGAAACAATGTTATGTGGTGATTCAAACAGCTTTAGCAGCAGCCATTTTAAATCACAGAGTTGTTTGGTTTGTTTTTTTTTACCTGAAACAGAGATACAATTGTCCAGAACACCTGAGACTCAGATTAATTTTTATAAATAGTTGAAATTCTTAACAACTGGGGAAGAAGTGTATAGGCAAATACACTGTTATAAAAATAAAAGCATAATTATTCAAAATAAATTACAGTGAAGAGAAAATTACCGTATATCTGCTTTAGGATGGACTGCTTGCTGGTTTTTATGGCTGAGCTGGTTTTGTTTACGGATTTCAGATTTTTACATGAAGGAACTGATTTCARAGGGCTATGGTTCAGCTGTTTCTTCCAAGCAACCTGAATGAAGAAGGCAGCTGTCTCTTGTCTCCATTTGTCTTCATCTTCCTTGCACTGCGGCTTAGCACCAAGGAGCTGAAACAACTCCTGTCTTAGCTGGTAACTAGAGAGCAGAAAAGAGAAGAGCACTTGTTTTAGGTGACCTGTTTTAACTTCCGTGCTTTCCACGCATCAGTTCACATGGTGGATTACATGAGTAACTGGGAAAACAGAACTCCCACTGATGTGCTAAGTCACTTGGACSAGAAATGTTTGTTCAGAAGAAAAAGTAGGAGTTGGGTTCGATTTTGGATGCATCCATTATTTCACACAGTAAAGATCTGGCATTACAGGTATCAAAAGTTCCAGTGCTTCAGCATCAGCCTATCAGCTGCTTTATAAATAAAAAATAATAAGAAGACAAAACTAYAAATATTTATGGTAAAAGTACAACCAATACTGTCACAATTTTCACTATTTTCACAGCTTAATAACACYMRACTTTCTCGTGTGCYTTACCACTTCGTGTCCTCAGTAAAYCAGTGCAAGAGACAACCCAAATCTACCTCCTGTGGRTTCAACTGCACATTTCCTCTGCAGAAAACTGAGCTGCTCTCCACCCCTCCTCTGAAGATGCTCCCCTCACCTTGTTTTCAGCAATCTGTGTTTTTTCCCTTCCCTTCAAAGGCTCCCTGTCTTCTGACCCAACCTTGCCCCAGCTGCTTTGATCTTACTCACAGTCACAGCTCTCTGCYGAGTGGCAGCAGCAGATTATCTGTCCTTCTTCACACTCCGGTGGCAAATGGCACCGGCAGCAAGGAGTTGTTTGGGGATTTTTTTTCCCCTTGAATGGGACATAAGTATTCAATCGGATATTGGCGTTTCACACTCAMAAGTCAATTAACTGCCTTAGCAATTAACTCTGAGTCCACCCAGTATAAACCTGTCACAAATGAGCATTAAGTAACACTTGTGAAATATTAATTATAACTGTTTGGTAACAGGCCAAAACACATTGATCATCATCCCCTCTGGCATTCAAAAAAGACTTCTACTGGATGCCCCAGTAAAGTAAATGAGGAAGGAGAGAGAAAGGGGGGATTTTGTTCCGTTTCTCCCTCTGCAACAAGTTCTAAATTAAAACAAAAGAAGATACAGCCAGATACATTGTTTAAATGTATATTCTAAGCCAATGAACTATATAATTCAGACAAGGCAGCAGCCATATACAAAAAATGAGTACATAAAAGCACAATGGAATGCCAAAGGGGGATGATATGCTCTGCTACAGACCAAATAATTTTAAACTTCCAATAAGCTTAGTAAATTACCTCTGAAATTTGCTGGGTGAGACAAATGTATTTAATCCTAATTTAGTGAAGCTTCAGAATTCAGGCATGTACTGTTATGCAGCTCATTAAARTATATAACAAATGCAGGCAGCRACTGCATCTTACCAGGGCTTGCACRTTGCGAAGAATGGCATGAATTGAGAACAGGAGTATTATTAAGACACAGCAGAAAAAAAAAATGATCCTGTTTTCTTAAGTACCATGTCACTTTTGTCACTTTTAACTTTTCAATGGGGCAAGAGGGGAAAGGAAAGTGAAGAAGGAGCACAGTTACAGTGACTTGCTAACATAACTTGAGCTAGGGATGG